CAACGCAGAGCCGACCAGACTAAAGTAGTCGCTCGTTTCATGGGATGTGTCTTGGGTACAGGTCTTGTATTTCTCCGAATACCCCCATTTTCCAAGTCCAACCAGAGGGAGACAACAGACTAAAGCAGGGTAAACCCAGATGACTACCAGCATAGCTGCAATCTTCTTTGGGGTGTAGACAGAGCGGTAGGTAGCCGTTGTCTTGGTGATGAGTATGTACCGGTTGATGGAAATGGCAGCCAGAGTAATGATGCTGCATCCAAGGCTACAGAAGCCGATAGCAGCCACGATGGAGCAGACAATCTCAGGCATAGGCCAACCACTCATGCTGAATAACGCTACCGCAGTGAAGGGTGCCGACAGACACGTCACAAGGTCAGCTATGGCCAAGTTGACCACGAAGGCGTTGGTGCGCGTCTGGAGCTTCCTGGACAAGATGACCGCCAAGATGACCATAATATTACCGACGAGGCCAACGACAGCAACAAGACACACGACAGTTCCAATGATTGCTCTTTGCGTGTAGTTTTCAAATCGAAAGTTCCGCCCATCTCCTTGGGTTGTGGTTTCCAACATTGTCGCGGTTGTCATGTTTTCAGTAAGAGAGTTCTCAGATGACGTCATAAAAGAGTTCTCATCGGAAGATGTGGTGCGGAAAATGGTCGCATCGCCGGTTGTCATGGTTGTCATAGCATCAGTTGTCATGGTGAATGTTCCAGTTGCCATGGTGAATTGTGAAACCAAAATGGCAGTTTAAATGATGTAATGTCCCAACTTTTCAACGCCACTCACAGTAAACACTTTGCCGAATCGGGCTATATTGATATGCAGGTTCTAAAAAAGAAAGAAAATACGAACATAGTGTAGATCATTATAAGCAATACCAAAATATAATCAAATCCACCGAATCTCTTCGAAAATCTCTAGTAACGGGGATATTCAGAACAAACAAATCCTTTCGATAAGTTAACGCCCAGTAGCGTTTGGACTACAACTGTGTAACATTTCACGTGATAGCACATCCAGCTGGGGGGGAGGGTGCTTAGAGGACATCTGCGCTTGCAGCCTCGCGCCATAAGGAAAATATCTGTGTTGTGAGTTGGTGAAGGTCTAAAAAGATACAAAGAATTCAACGTTTCGGGTAGCACGCTCTGGTATTCTTCAGGAGACTGCAAGAAACTACAATCTCCTGACAACGGACACAGCATATAGTCTGCCTAGAGTTCTTCGGCTGTTTTTTNAAGATTTCACCAACTCACGGAGGAAGCAACATTTTACAACATGGTAAAAACCGCAGGCTCCCCAACATTGCTTTCCTCGCCGTTCAAACCTTCAAATATCATCTGATTTTGCCCATAAGATAACATTTGATGAATTTTTCAGGGATTGCTAGCACGTCACCGGTGCTGCACTAGCAAAGCCTGTGTTTTGCCGCTAAAGGTTAGAAAATTCGGGTCATATTTTAAGAAGAAAAAGTTCCCCATTTTATTCCTCGACCCAAATCTTAGAAAAGCCATTGTACCGCTTCAAAGTGGGCAATTCTCCCCACAATAGGAAATCGGATTAACAGGAAAAGACACTGACAGAATAAACAGGAACGACTCAAACAAAAACATAATGTTCGATTAAACAAATAAAAAAAGATGATTGGTTTGTTGACCGAATCCATTATCTAGTATCAAAGTGTATTGGTAGGTTGCACAAGTATTTATGAATAGTTTTTATTTTGAGTTTCATTTAATAATTTTAATAAAAATGATTATTAAAGCCAAACCGCGATGTTGAGTCTCATAACTTTGTTGCAACAACTCAACCGACTTGTATTCGGCTCAACTCACGTGACTGCCATTCGTGTTTGATGTAATCAATTTGCCGAAAATATATAAGGTTTCATGTTTGAGGAAATGCCTGAGAGGAGAACAACTCGTGATTGTGAGGCAAACGTGGGATCCTAACTACTTCTTTCTTGCTTTTGCAAGCCAACAACAATCCAAGTAGATTTTCCTTGCAATGTAGCCAAGAAACATTCATTTCTCAGATGTTTATCTTTTCCTAGTAATTTTTCTTTTGATTTATCTAACAGTAGCGCCGTTTCCGAAACTCGTTTTTTCGTCAGTATGGGGCACTTCAATTATCACTCTCCCCACCCCCCGTAAAAAATAATGTTACACACAAACTCTCTTTTTGAATAACTTTGCATGGGAAGTCTTGGCCATGTTGGATTTTTGCATCAGCTGACCTTGAAATCAAATTTTTAAAAGGAAATCAGCAACTTTCTGTTTTTTATTTTTACGATATGTAATATGAAGTACATATAAATGAAACAGAGTTACGAACGGTTTCAAGTTGCATCTAAAAGTAGGTTATCTAGCATGTTGAGTTTTGAATTGGCATTAAAACCTCATTCAGATATCAACATGTCATAGAAATTTCCTCTTTCGAACTCTCTGCCTGTCATTTAAACAATGTTTCTTTTGGAGATCGCAAAAGCAGTAGGCCAACTAAACCAATTCCATGACTATTAGATTAGCGGGAACCAGACTGTCTGCCAACAATATGAGTTAGGTATTAACCAATATTACTTTCCGTCCTCTGCTTGTCACAGGTGACCTGTGACTCTTCCATTGATTTCTTATTAATGATAAACCCGGTACACACTGGCATGTTAACCAAGTCACGTCGCTTTCCGGATTATCTTCAAAATGGGAAGTCTGGACGACTACCACCAATTGTTTGTGGTACATCCACGACGAGGCAGAAACCGCACCTAAACTTTCCTCCAGTATCAGTCCAATTATAAACTGCAAAACTAATTTGCTTTAGTGACCAACAACGCATGCGTACAAGATCCAGGGTAATATATCCGTGCATCCCCTTTAAACAAAGCATATGCATCTGCATGAATTCAAAAATTTATAGCACACCAAAACCTGGTTTACCCAAAACAAGGCAGATCATTTTAAACTTTTGAAAAATATGTTGAAGTGCTTACTGCCGACAATGTAGACTTCTAGCAGAGTACAATCATGGCATATTTTCGACGGAGTTTTGGGGGCCAATTTCTCTCCCTCATGGCATAAACGGTCTTGATTTTGTTTTTAACAAATTATTTTTAAGCAATTAAATTTTTTTGCGGCGATTTGGGGCAACGTTTTGAAAAAATATCATTAATACTAAGCGGAAACCAGATGTCAGTCAGCCTTAACTTCTTTCAATCAAGATATCAGTCTGATTTTCACGTTGTTAAGGAAAAATTAAGCCCAAGCCTGCAGACTAAGAATAACTATGCCATAATTCCGATTCCAGTAACTAATTACCCCCCCCCCCATCACTGTTAAATGTTCCAGCGAAAACCCGTAGAACTACGAAAAGTATACCGGGATTCTCGTTAGAGTGGAAACACGGAACGACGAGCCCCCATGCATGGGTACCCCACGAAACACTATGGGAAATAGTAGTTTGACATGTTTGGACGGTACGCCCAGAACCACGGGACTTGTCTTTCCGCATATCATGGAGTCATTGCCCTACTGTTGCCAGTCACAGTTCATCAGCATCATCATATCGATTCGACCACAATCGACAACTTACCGAGATATCGAGAGTAATATCCGTATGGTAGTAATGATGATTGCAGTCGCACTTATTCAAAGACTAACATAATACGTTTGACATATTCAAGCAATGTGCGAATAAGTTGTGGTTGTTGATAGTACTGCCAATGTGGGCAACGAGAAAACGAGTTTTACTTACTGATATGTACATGTATGCTGGGCGGTCACTGGGTCAGGTCGTAACGTTGATGTGACGAGCGCCACAGAGCAATATATTCCACCTTCTCCCGTGTGGCTATACTGTACACTCTTGTAACACGCTGAGAAAGGTGGAAAGACCCAAAACCACTTACTGCAGGTGGACAAACACGAAAACAACCCAAACGTTTCGACTTCTGCGGTGCAACTATTATTAACTAGTGGGAAAGTCCCATTTAAGTAGTCAATTGTCCTGATCGCTTAATTGGTTTCGTCATCGATTGCACCCGGACGTGGTCAGACCTGGCCACGGAGATGGCAAGGCACCGGCAGTCGCGACAACAGGTTATGTTGAAATTGAAACTTTACCCCAGTTTACTAGTGTACATGTACTGTACATGTACATGTACAGTGTATCTGTTTGTACAGTACAAGTACTCAAGCAGCTAGGCACTCGGGGTACCGGGTAAGAGGTATGCGGAACTTCCTTGTTCAACATCATCAGGTTTCAGTTCGACCTTTGACACTAACTCTGGGAGCGAGGTCACCCAGTGGGTCAAACCATGGATGTCAAACCAGAAGGCATGATAAGCATACTACTCTCTTGTTATCATTGAGGAAGAGATATTTTGCAACTTACAGAATGGTTTACCTGGTGACCAGCTTATTCATGGATGAGTAATGATTCCGCTCTTAACAATCGAATGGTTGGCTGACAACCGGAGTCAAAGTGACGTAGCCTATACTGATCAACGCGTACGGTCAAGTTTTCACCTTCTGACCTACGTTTCACCTTGGTTTCAATTCAATTCAGTTAACTAAGATGGTTATTTATAAACTTTCTTCGTGGCCAAAGGCCACATTACAAAGTTTTTACATTTAAAGATAGATACAACCATTAAAACGTTTGGTTAAACTTACAATAAATACGGAGTTGCTTGTCCACTGCTTATCAAGCAACTCCGTAGATCCGTGGACAAGCATTCAGTTTTGAGTGTCCGACTGCTAACTAGCGTGTACATATACATACCTGTTCCCAAACCACTACCACAAAAACTTTGATTTCAATGTAGCCAAGTATTTTCTTTTAATACATATGATGGGAGCCGTGCTTTGACTGAGGCCAAATAATGCTGTGTGGTTTGGCTATCTTCGTGAACAAATGTTGAGGCCGTTTCAAAATAATATCCGTGCTATGGCACTGATATTTAATTACAGTGGGTCTACATTTTATACATAGACGATGAGCCACATGTTAAGAGACCCGATGGCCAGTTTGATGCGTTCGGTTCACTTTATTCATCATTGATATAATTTCAGGCAAAAATTAACGGTTAACTCATCGAATTTCTTCATTAGTTGTTTATATTTAATAGTCCTTTTGCATAAAAAGTTATTTTTTTACATTATTGAATAATTGCATTCGGAAGGAAAGAATTCGAACGGGTATGCATTTTTAAATTGGAAATTTACTAGAAGGTCAACTCAACCCGGCACCTGAGCTTTTGTGATGACAGTGCGGTTTGGAAGCTCGAACAGTGACGAAAATCTCTCTCTAGCTCTGAGGCTGCGTCGGCAATCTTTGAAGCCTTTAACGTGATCCGGAGTCGTCATTGACCGGGCTTTATTCCTTTGGTGTGAACGAGTGTCAGATCACGGTCCGAGTCGCACCAACATCGGACATGAACATTAAGCAGGAAACGGGAATTTCCGTGACCACGGAGGTGTCAAGATTATGGGATGGGATTTGTGGTAATATCAATAAATGCAGGAACGTTAATTAAATGATACGACTTCAATTTCTTTTCTTTGCCTGTTTTGGCGTGCAATATGTGGTATGTATTTTACAGAGTAAGACTTTTTAATTTTATTTTATAATGCACGTATGTTTGTATATCCCGTTCACACACATGACAGTAGTAAGAGGTAAGATGTATTCAAATAGGAGCCAACATAATATACCAACAGCAAACAATATAGTCAGATCAGATGTATAGTCAGATCAGATGAATAGTCAGATAAGATGTTTAGTCAGATCAGATGAACAGTCAGATCAGGTGTTTAGTCAGATCAGATGCATAGTCAGATCAGATGAACAGTCAGATCAGATGAACAGTCAGATCAGATGTGTAGTCAGATCAGATGTGTAGTCAGACCAGATGAACAGTCAGATCAGATGAACAGTCAGATCAGATGTATAGTCAGATCAGATGAACAGTCAGATCAGATGAACAGTCAGATCAGATGAACAGTCAGATCAGATGTAC